AAGAAATATATACAATGGATTGACCATTTCTACCTAATCGTGTCTAAATTCAGAGGATGTCATATTTACATTCTTTTTATTTATAGATAAATATATGAGTTAACAACTTTTTCCTACCCAAATAATAGTTTAATGACACTTTTTCACCCACATATTTTAAATACCACTTTATTACCCAAATTCATATTCCAATGGTGAATAGAGAACAAACTCGGTCCAGACTGTTGGGGCTTTTGAAGAGGAGAGACAAATGAGTCTTTTGGTGGTGGAATGTTAGATTTTGGTAGTTGAGATTGATCAGAATTTGACTTGAGAATGACGGCTGTGTAAACCCTAATACCTTGATTGTCAACTATTGGCAATGTCGATAGGAGTGGGGTTTTAGGAAGTGATGATCGGGGAAGAGAATAGTGGTGATGTGGGGTTGCAATGATACCTGAAATCGTAAATAGAATATAAATTTAGGTGGTAAAGTCGTATTTTAAAAGTTTGTAGGTAGGAAAGTGTCATTAAGCTATTATTTGGGTGGAGAAAAATAGTTTCCTCTAAATATATGGTAGAGTCAACTGCTTTTGCCCACCCAAGGTTTGCCTTAATGACACTTTCCCATCCAAAATATTTCAAAATACCATTTTCCTACCCAAAGTTTATATTCCGTTAATATCCAAAATACACTTTACTTTCTTAATCGGCATCTGACGAGTTACCAGCAACCAAGGTGAGAGGGATTTTGTAGGTTAGAGGCCGATGGATCAAATGGTGGTGACCGATTGAATATCCTTTGTCGGAATTAGCCAAAAATTAGATAAGAACAGGAAACCGTAACTTTGTGATGGTCGGTAATCGGTGAAAAATCAAATGCTAGAGTGAGACGGGTTTTGTAGAGAAGAGACCGAATGTTTAAATGGTAGCGAGAGAGAAAATTTTTTCTATCAGAATCGGCTGAAATTGACTTTGGGTATTAACGGAATATAAATTTTGGGTGGGAAAATAGTATTTTGGAAGCTTTTGCGTGGGAAAGTGTTCTAGAGGCAAATCTTCGGTGGGAAAAAAATCGTTTACTCTCAAAAGAAGCCAAAAACTTTCCCATTTTCCTGATGTTAGCAAACTAAGACACTAGGCCTGCTTGTTTTCAGCCCAGGAAGGTAGAAAAATGGGCTTATTTAATTCAAGTAGCTCTATTGTGATTACAGAAGCCCATGTATACAGTGAAGTTCACACTCTTATCTAATCTTTTTACTGCAGCAGTGCACCAGTGTCATTTTATCGCTTTTGAAGATCCCGTTTTACTGACTAAGCAACTGCGTGTCATTGCTAGATGGCTCCGTCTCTCCGATATCGCCACGTCGATCACCATACGTGTGTCTTCCTCCATAAGACTCACTTAGTCACCTATCACATCTCACAATTGTTCTCACTCATCATCTATATAAATCCGCCAAGTACCACTCTCCAAGCACGACATACTTTGGAGTGTCTGCAGAAGAATAGAAACAAGCTAAATTAAGTCTAAGGAAGAACATCGAAATGGCATCAGAGCAGGAAAGGAAAGAGCTTGACGCAACGGCAAAGCAGGGAGAGACAGTTGTTCCTGGTGGAACTGGTGGCAGGAGCCTGGAAGCTCAGGAACACCTTGCTGAGGGTAACCCCTATGAATACGAATTATGGTTGTTTAGTTTACTTTTGTTATGAATATGAACCAACTTTTTTTTCATATGGTGATGAAGGGCGTCACCGTGGAGGGGAGAGGAGGAAGGAGCAACTTGGAACAGAAGGGTATCAGGAGCTGGGTCACCGTGGAGGGGAGACAAGGAGGGAGCAAATTGGGACTGAAGGTTACAAGGAGATGGGGCGCAAAGGTGGGCTGAGCACCATGGACAAGTCTGGAGGAGAACGTGCTGCGGAGGAAGGAATCCCGATTGACGAGTCCAAGTACAAGACTTGTAGTTAGTTAACATAAAAATAAAAATAAAAAAATCTGGCTGTCTAGACTCGTTTAAGTCGTGTTAATGGCCAAAATAAATAAGGAAGTGGGGAGTCTAGATTGTCCAGAGCAGTGTAGGAAGTGTACTGTACTATACTGTTGTGTAAGTTTGAAGCTTTCTGTTTTTAAACTTTCTAGGTTTTGTATAGGGTGGCATTTTCTGTATATATAGTGTCTAGTAGGTCTCGGTCTTTTTTTGTGATGGTGCCAAATGCCTCTCCCGTTTCTGTACTTTGCTCTTTGAATCTAATGCAATGCTAGCTTCGGTTGAATAATATGCTTTCTTATATATACATATATGCATGCGCATAAATCTTTTTAAAATAGTTGTCACCTTCAGATAATAATCAGTTAATGCAAGGAGTATAAGGTTGCAACGTAGTATACAATTACCAATGGACAGAAGTAGTGGTTCCGAGCAACAGCTAGTTGATGAAGGAATTCTGAGAACTCAAAAGGCTTTCTGTGATCCTTTTCTTTTCCTTGGCGCTCAAATAATTAAAAGCTAGAAATCTTTGGATGCCATTGCCCTCAGTCATATATATTTGCTGTTTATCTAACTTAAAAAAGGAGGAAGCCGATCGATATTGAAAGTGATGAACTCACACGTACTTATAATTCAAGGCTTAAGCAGAAAATTAATGCTTATACATTAATTTAATTGGAGAAACTTGTACTATGATATATAATCAGTGAAGAGATATACTGTATCTGAAAGTATTGTGAGACATATGGTAAACATATATATGAATGAAAGTAGTCACAGTGCAAGAATCCAGTACATTCTGAGATATATTTTCCATGTTTACGTATACATTATTATTCTCTAAAATCGGATGCCCAGAAAATGAGGAGCAAGAGTACTGGCTGTTCAGGCTGAGTGTGTTTATAAAAAGATTAAGTTGGACGTCCAGATAAACTTAAAACAGTTAACTCACACCAACTTCTGGGTGACATATATTCATCCCATAAATACTTTTAAGCCGATTCTTCAACGCAAAAAGACTTCATGTCAAGCTGATCATAATCAAGTAATATTAGATTTATAAAAGGTAATTTTGTGATCTAATAAACATAAGATTCTATTCTATAAGATTCAAAATACTGTATATAGATACTATAAAATCCTTATCTTATGATCAACTGACATGTGTGTGTGCATATATATATATNGCGACCTGCGGGCGTTTTTGGCGGTTGTACCGCTCCGGCTGTCGCGGATGACATGCCTTGGTCCAGACGGTCCAACCGCTGGTTGACCGTCTGGAGAGTATTGTCGAACCTCTCCAGGTAGCTTCGGATGGCAGGGTCCAGTTGCGGAGCTGCCGGGGTATTCCCAACAGCATTTTGCGATACTGGAGGTACGCTGGAAGGGGTGTCCCTCTGGGTCACGGGGACTCCTTCAACATGTTGGTTCCCCTGCTCAGGTTCAGATTGGCGGGCCATTGTAGCTGTAAGACCAGTAGGTCAAAGATTCTCCTGATGAAGGGTAGACGCTAAATCAGGCCCTCCTTCTAGCGCCAAACTGTTGATGCTGGTTTTTAGCACCGACCAATTGTCACGTGGGTTTTGTTCTTGGACGAATTATTGCACGTGATAATGGATATATGAAATGAAGTAAATGCACGAAAAACTTTTAAAGTGGTTCGGATGCTAAGGTAGCAAGTCCTACGTCCACTTAGTTGTATTGATTTTAGTGTGGGTCAGGTCGCGAAGCGGATTGACGTACAAAAAGTTATGAAAATCAACTGTTTGCTTTTACAAGAGAGAGAGAATTATTTTTTGTAAAGAATGGCCGAATCCCCTTAATGGAGGGGTCTTCTTCATTTTATAACAAATCGAGGCGTGTAATCATCATTAAATCCATGGGTTGGTGTGATTGTCAGGATGTAATCCGGCTTTATGTCCCATTTTCCTTTTTCCAAGCTGATTTCGCACGACTTGCTGCAGAGGAATGGACGCGTGTGAGCTCCACATTACTTTGCAGATCTGACGTGTGCATGTTGCCCTGACGGGAGCAGGTCACCCGTAACGTGACTCTTCCCACGTCAGTCCTTTGTTTTCCCGGGTATAACACAAGAAAAATTTGCCAGTGAGACCAGCTGCGAGGACAAATCTAGCTATACTTCTTGCTAGAATTGTTTTGTTAATGGTAAAGGGAAACTTAAAATTAAGATTTAATGTCTATATTCTTTGAATTACGTGTTAAATAAGAAGTTTATCAAACTTAATCGATCAGAAACAATTACTGGATGGTCTGATAGTAAAAGAGTAAAAAGAAATTTTATAAAACTCTGCAAAGTACTAATATAAGTGGCTATTGGAATTCTTATCCTTTTGATAATTCCAAATAAACAGACTTGAATACACGGAGATTTAAAAACAAAAAAACAAAAAACTTAATTAATCAGAAGTATTATATACTGGATTGCTTTTCTTTGTAGGGGTGTTTTTAAGATTTTATTTTGTAAAACAGTATCAAATGAAATAATATTTTTATGTAGTTTACCTAGGTCAAATGCTACAAGCCTATGACTGGCCTTTGGGTCAAAAAGATGTAAGTTCAAGATCAAGCATACATGGTATAGGTTATTATCAGTTATCAGTCACAAATAATAAGGTAGTGTTGAATATAAGTAAAAATTGTGTATTTTTAAAAGAGTTCTATCATAGTCTTTATTTGTTAAAAACTTTTCAAATATTTGAAAATGATTTTTAATTTTGTAATATCAAATAAAGTTATATAAAAAGGTCTTTCTAAAAAGTAATTATAAATAGTTTTAAATAGTTAAATTACATCTTTTTAGATTAATTTACAATTAAAGTAATGATCATATTACTGATATTTTGTTATAACTTTATACTAACGTAGATTTATATTATATTATATACACAAGACTATATAGAATGTACTGCTTTATTCAAGAAAATGTTGTAATTAAATGGATTCACCATAGATTCGTTCTATCTTTATATAATGAAACAATTTATGGTATCGAATGGTAATAATAGAAGGTATTCTGTATGTAGAAACTTTCAATAACATTAACAAAGGCTTGCATTTATCGTATGACAATTTATAACATGCATTCACGATCTATCTCTTGTTCTGTATAAAGTATAATCACGGGTGGATGTGGATTACTGGCTCGCTTTCTTTCTCTGTAAATATCAAAATTTGGTCGGAAAAACAAAAAAAGAATCTGGTACTTGAACTGTAGCAAGTAATAAAGGAAGTTTATAGTTCATTAATTTGGTCTACCATCCAAGGTGGTTTTAAAAATAATTCATTTATTTCGTCACACCTCACAGGGCCTATATAAACCCTACTTTTTCTCACACAAACACAGTTTATTAGTCTTGAAGGTGAGCTTTTCCGACAAGACAAAACAATGGCTAAGGGTTTCAAGCTCCGGATATCCCGATTCATCCCATCCTTCCGTTCTTGCCGTTCTAAAGACCCATCCACTCTCCCGTCAAATCCAGTCCCTTCAGTCCTCCAGTTCTCTTTGGTCACCCCTAACCCCATCACTCTCCATTATCCAAAACCAACCCCCAAAACACGTCACTCCTCTTTCAAACGCCACGTTTCCTCTGCCATCACATGCATAGCATGCGGCTGCACCTCAAGATCCAGCTCAAAGAACCTCTGTTTAACCGACTACTCTGAATCTCCACTTACACCAGAGTTTCACTGGGAAAAAGAAGACAACTTTCACGTGGTGGCCAAAATCTTTGACGAAACCCCTCGCCAGAAAATCTACAACTCCTCAGCCTCAGCCTCCGGTCACACGTCATGTGATGACGAGGTTTTGTTGCCTCCTCCCCCACCACCAAACACGGAGAAGAAAAAACGACGTGGTAGAAAGAAGAAAAGGACACCGCCAAAGACCCGCATCAGCACATCTTCGGCTGATACCGAGTTATTTAGCAGTGAAAGTTATGATGACGTCGACTATGTAGACAATGAAGAAACTGAAACATTAGTTTCCTCTTCTAGAAGCTTATCCACTGATTATTCTTCTTCAGAGTTCTATCCCAAACTTGAAACCATACGAGAAATACCATTCAACAGGCCTGTAAGCACCCGTAAGAAGAAGAGGGTCAAGAAGGTAAAACGGTCGGTTTTGAAGACAAGCCAAGTGATAAATAAAAAGGGTAATTTTTCTTCTCCGGAAATTGAATCTCCAGCGAGGTTGTCCATGTTCCTACAGAGGCTGATACCATGTACTGTTGATGGGAAAGTGAGAGAGAGCTTTGCTGTTGTGAAGAAATCTGAGGATCCGTACGAGGATTTCAAAGGATCCATGTTGGAGATGATTTTGGAGAAGCAAATGTTTGAAGAGCAAGAGTTGGAGCAACTCTTGCATTGCTTTTTGTCCTTGAATTCCAGGCAGCATCATAGGGTTATTGTGGATGCTTTCACTGAGATATGGGAAGCTATGTTTTACCGCAGATCAGGTAGTTTCAGAGTTTCTAGGGGTCTTTGAAGTAAACCAGTAGTTAACAAAAAAGAATCACTTTGGTTTATGTTAACTTTGTTAATTAACCTTCTCTTTAATGTATCAATGTAGTTTAATTGCAGGGTTTATGTACCCTTGAATTCACCACTCATCATCCAGTAAAAGTAGTTAATTTCACCGCTTTACTCCTACGTGCCGACAGGTTTTTCTATGATCAGAGGATGAATATAAACATATATATGTTGAGTTTGAACTATCAATGAATTGCAAGTTGAACTGTTTGAAGAGCCCTGGGTCTCCAGTTCATGCAACAGTATACTTCACGTACAACAGCTTACCGATTGTCGACTAGTATTTGGAAATCATAAAAAAAAAACTTGACTGATCTGATGATTTCTGTACATCCAATCAAAGTTGTAAGCTCAACCTAACTAAGAAATTGAATTGATAAAAGACAAGATGCCTTTCTTCTCAATTTATTTTCTTTGACCATATTAATTGCTTGACTATTTTTCTTTCTCTTTTGGTCATGTACTGTGTGACTTTATCGTCTTGGGGTTGTATTTAATCAGAAATTAATCAAATTCATTTGACCAAATGGCAATCATGATGAACATAATCATTTCTGTTGATCATGGTTATATTTGACTTGATAAAAAAAAAATAATAATAATAATGTAAAGAATTTGGTAAATAGTATTCTACAACACTCCAACTCTAGGTACATTGTTTGTGCTCTCTCCCGCATGCACATTCTCCATAATTGTGCTTGTTTCT